CTTGAACTTGTATAACTTATTATTATAAAAATAATATAGTGCCGCCGCTAATAAAAATATAATCATCGTGAAAAACAAGTTAAAAAACATATTTTTGTAAATTTTGAAAGAACAAAAGAATGGAGCAACATGTCTTTGATGTCATATTATGGAGTACATTTAGTACAACCCATATTAAAAATTTGGAACCGGTTTTGATAAAATCTTGTTTTGTTATTTTTTTGCAGTTGCTCATATTGCATGCAATATTGCGCGAAAACTGTTACAATTTTCAAAAAAATGTAAATGACCTTAATGAAAGAATTGACAATGGAGAACAAATTTTAATTCAAGGGAAAATCTCTATCTTCAATTTTGTAGCTGTCGGAAGACACTGCAAAAATTCACATTTTTGCAATTTTTGAAAATTCAGAATTAACCGTGAACATCTGACCCATGCCATCTTTATAAGTGCATTTTAGTCGATTCACACAAGAAGTTTAAAAAAATGGAGCCGTTTTTAGGAAAATTTTGAAAATGTTCGGTGGCTTCATGTAAAGTACCCCCCAATTTTGAAGGAAGTTTTTTCTAAATTGCAGCACCTTCAGTTGAACCAGATTGACCGAGCAATATTCATTTTGGATAAAATTGTACATATAGTTTAGGCGCAAGTGGTGTTTACAGACTGACAGTCAAACGGGCGGACTGACAGACGGACTGACGTTTTGACTTGTTTTTCGGTATGAAGGGTCTACAAAACAGGGATTCTGGCTACATCACGTGTTAGAGATTTTTTCTTAATTAAAAAACTGGATTTATCCACTTTTTCGATATCAGAGTCCGGAAATGGATTTTATTCTGCCGAAAATCCGCCGTTTTTTCGCGCAGCATTACATAACTTTCCCTATACTACATATATTCATCGGTATATACGAATGTATACGGGAAAGTAATTACTGTTCCATGGCACAAGACGTAAATAACAAATACATTATGCCAGGAGACCTCTTTCAGGGAGCGTTGCTATATTAACTTGATTCAGCTCTGTCACAAAAACTGACACTCTGATTATCAGAATTCCGTCAGTATGCGTAGTATGAGAATAGGCGGATAGTCATAATCAATTTTTTTGTATTCTTCAGTAAAAATTTTAACTTTCATAGTTGCTGTATTTTTTATGATTTCCTGGATATCTAAAGAAATAACAGGCACCTCTCACATAGATGGAGAGTGCACAGTTTTCTTTCAATTTCTGGAATTGGAAATTAGGTACTAAGATACGGCAATTAGATACTGCCATATAGATATTGTGCTTCAAAAAGTAAAATAACAATCATTGTAACAATGTTATTTAATGCCATTGTTATCATTGTACTGTATAATTAAAAAACACTGTATTGTCTGCAGCAAGTACAATCTTACTGGCAAAATAAATCAAACCAAATTATGGTAGCTCACATTTGTGCCAATTACCGCCATCTCTGTCATGTTTTTCAATCAGTTTCCCAGACTGATAATACTGAGATTCATAATACAACTTAATACTTATAAGAACTAGAGTAGAGATTCCAGAGCTGAAGAAAGTGCGCAGATTGCATTATTTCTCCATACCATAGTACAACAATCCATTTTAACTGATTTTGACATTAAATAAATAAACAAATAAAACTACTAAACAGAATTCCTCCCGCTCTTCTCTTTCGTTCGCCGCATTTTGCGATGTCAAATCGTGAACCCGAGTTTGATAAGTGATAAAATCTTTCAAACCTGCTATATGTATATATTTTTATAGTAATATTGCATGCTTTTAAGAGAAATTTAAAATGAAACATTACGGCTATGACAATTCAGCAAAGAACAAATGCATTTCGCTTTTTTTCAGTCTTCATAAGTCTCTTCATGTGACATGAATTTGAATTACAACCTAAATTGACACATACTTCATATGGCCATTTTCCTGTGCCGAACATTATAAAGGTAAATGTGACATGTGGTACACACACATTGAATTAAAATTAAAACTGCCGCTCTCTGTGAAGGAAGTATGTTACTCCTAGATGTAGATATTAAAGTTCTGTGTACAAAGTTTCACATTTTGACCAACAGGGTGCAGTTTCCTTTCGCTATGGGCAGTGGCGATTGCATCTAGTAACGCGCCTTCGCTCCAGGTTCGTGGGCGACGGTAGCAGTTGCGAGTAGACGGTATACCACAACGGGGGAGTGCGTTAGCATAGGTTTTAATATTTGATTGTATTGTGTGTTTGTGCTGAATTTTAATTTTTGTGTGATTTAGAGGAATTTTGCTGTGTTATACTGGTGAGTGAGAGATATACTGTTTAAACTGAAACTTTACTGACGTTTTCCGATTGAAACTTATCGTACGCAAGGTTTTGTCAACAGATTCGATCTGCCCTGTATTGTAGGAGCGTTCAACTTTGTGTGTAAAGAGCTTACGAGAAAATGAAAACTCAAAAAAAACAACTGTAGAACTATGCGTTCTTAGAGTTCACTTCGTTTTTATGTTGAAATAAGTGTAAGATTATACAGTGCAATGATTCAGATATTCTAGTGGTGTAGAAGAATCTCAATTCAGACACAAGATACTCTTCCAATAGCCCTGAATCCTAAAATTTGTGGCCTTCAGTTAACAAATCGAAATTTTCTTCAGATTTCAGTGTCCCTCACAGTTGCTGATTTTAAGATGCAGATTAGTCTAATAGGTATGTACAGTTTGCTAGCTATGTGTGAACCGCTGATAAGAGAATTGTATTAATAATGAGATTTATATAAATGTTGAGGGATATTTTGCCCTTGTGTTCAAAAACTTAATGCACTATGTAACTACGTGCCTCTGTTGTGAAATGTAGTGTCCCATCAACTTTTAACTTACGTTTAGAAAATTTTAAAATTAAGCATTCTATATATTTGAAACGAATTTCATATTTTATTAGCTAAGCTTCACTTCCATTAAATTGTAACGAGACAGTTGGTTTTCAAAAATCGTAAGAGAACGCGTTTTCTTTGACTAAAATTAATGTATCTCTGTGCCTCTGTATTTGCAAGGTCAAAGGATTACGCACTGCAGCGATAACATTCATCGTACCGATCGACGAGCGCTCTAGGCGAGTTCAGAGAAATTTCTCTTAATTTAATGAGTATACACAATTAATACGTTATGGTTCACACGAGACAAAAATTCAAATTTAAAACTTTAAAAACTAAACCAAAACTTGATAATCCATGAAAATAATTTTATTACATCGGAACAAATATTTTAACAATCCTAGCAAAAAGCTCTTATTTCTGTATGTAATCGAAATTCAACTAGTGTATGGCTTATGGTAGGAATCACTGAATTATGAAAACGTGTACAGATTTTACTACTCCCCGTCGCACGTCAGTTTTTAATGTACAATAATTTCAAATTAACTTTTACGCGGATAACGACTGTTATTACTTGAATTTCAACAGAAATTTGTCAATTTCAACAATGAATAAAAATTGAATACCAATAGTTCTCATCCTTAAGTGGTTTTTAGACCTCCAAAGTTCAGGAATAGTAAAGTACATGCTATGATAGTGTATATTATAATTTCTTGCAAAATTCTAAATTGTGATAATCTCGCTTCTGGAATTTGATTACAAACTTGATTTCCAAAGTTAAACGTTCTGAAAACAGTAAGAGAATTTAATGAATTACTAAACAAGAAATATATCCCGGTGACTCGTGAGATTAGTGACGAGAAATGCAGATTTTAACGGTTTCCTTGATCGACAGGACCGTCGCAGCAACGAGGATGAAGCGAAACATCAACGCCGCCGTTCCGTCGGCGACGGAGTAAGCAGGGTCGAGTAGCTCGCTTCCTTCGCCCCTCTGCCACGCAGCGTCGGCCATGCAAGCCGCGGCCAGCGCTCCCAACCTGTTTTTCGGCTCGCGATGCCCTGGCGGCCGCTTCGGAGGGGGACCTTCGGGGCGGCTGCCCTTCGACAGCGGCCAAGGGCGTTTGAGACGCACGAGCACGGGGCCTGCCGCCCCGAAGCGCCACGGCCACGGTCGGGGCCACGCTCACAGCCAGGGTCAGCCCCACCCCTTCGACCACAGCCACGCCGCCGGGTATTTTCCCTCGCTCAGCGGACACTACTACACGCAAGGCTCCGCTCCAGGTGCAACCGCCGGCTACGACTACAACCACAACCACGGGACCGACGCGGGCTGCGGTCCCAGCCCCAGCATGGGCCTAGGGCCTGGGCTCGGGCC